TTTTTTTTTCAAAAACTTCATCTATTTGTGTATATTTCACATACCAATATGTGATGTGAACACATCAATGCTAGGAGTTGTAAATCCACACTCTGTACATGCATTCAGCTCGTCCATAATATGTCACCTATTGAGCAATTATGAAATTCAGGAAGAGAACGCTCACTTAACGCGTCTAGCACAATGCTATGTGTAACGATTGAAAAATAGTAACGAAATGCATTTTCCACACATTGTACGATTATAGCGATCCTCGAATAACAAACAGCAAATGATTATGAAAAAAGGAAATTATCGAAATTAGCTCGGCTCAGTGGAGCATGGTTAATAAAACACCTAACTAGACATTGTAGAAAAAACACCCTAGGCGACAATGCATGGAGACATACTGAGAACGGAAATGTTGTTCATAAGTATAAGGAGAGTCCGTGATTTCTGTGCAATTATACATCTAATTATATATAAATGGCGCTTGCCGGAGAGGTGATTCTAGGCTGTTGTTAAGGATGGAATCTCGAAAGATGTGTCTCATAGAAACAGGTTGTTTCACGATGAAGTAATCTGATAATAAACACTACACGGCGGAATCAGCTAATGGCAGTAATGAGAAAAGGTTAGGACGAATGGCAGATGAGCTTAAGAGGATTCAAGAAAGATCTGAAAGGGGACCGGATATGGGTTGGTAGCTGATTGCTGGGTGCGAATGTTGACTGTCTTAGGTCCACGTTGGAGTGACCCTCTCCCATACCCGAGCCTGGCTGTTTGTCCTCCGTGAGTTTCCGCGTACGGCCAAACATCAGTACACTGCTAACAGACAAGCGGGTCCACATCCTCGTTTAGGAGATACACCACATACATATATTGGTTACAAAATGCAACATATATCGGGGTCTGCAGCAGCGGAGCGGAATTTCGCATGAGCTCTGGTGGTGAATACTAGCCGTAACTTACATACCGCCAACTGCGTAATTTGACGAAGAAAACAGGCGCAAGAGATGCTTAACGTAGTTATTATGCAGCAATTAGAAATTTGTTGCCCGTTCTCGCACCACAATCCGCTCTACTACGTCTATTCAGTTCAACCGTACGGATAGAAGAGTAGGCCCCGCTTCTGGGAAGAAGTTTGGACTTTGTAAGATGTTGTTTGCTGGTACGAGGCCAGTACACAGGCCAGGTGCAATGAGAATCCAAGCACGGATCGGCGAAAAATCTGATTAAGCAGGCAGGTACATGCGATTATGACTTTTCCGAGCTCGCAAGCTAATTTCAGAAGCAATCAAATCGCGAAGTTCCGCTCTCAATTATGAAGTTAGATAAGGCTGCAGGAATGAAATTAAATTTTTATATACTACAACGAGAAAAAGTAAGATTTATGAAAGAGCCTAGTACAAGAAATCTTAGAAAATTCAGCTGATGGAAATTTAGAAAGCAATTCGTGCTGGATATCA